AATGGCGAGTGAATCATTTGAATCTGCGATTCCAAAGCCCTTTCGAATCCCTATCAAATGTCCGTATTGTGCCAGGTATATTCGCGCAATCCTATGAAATGTCCCCAGTATTAACTTTGATTCCAATCCATTTCCTATCAACTTCCCAATTCTTTCTTTCATCTCTCGAGCTGCCTTGACCGTAAACGTTGCCACAATTATATTACATGGTTGCAATCCCTGTTGCAACAACCAAGCAGTTCGCGACGTTAGAGTGTGTGTTTTCCCACTTCCTGGCCCTGCCAATATAGCGAGGGTATTTGCTTGTGATGAGACTGCGGCTTTTTGTGAAGCATTGAGGCCCCTAAGAAGGCTATCAATGGTCATTTTCGTGGCTTCAATTTCCGCTGGCGGATGTCTCAGGCTTGCGCGTTGTCGAAAATGAGAGATGGTTTGGATAAATAAGGTAGAATGAGCATTTGCGATTTTCCTGCGATTTGAAGCATCTGCAAGTTAATTATCAGGATCGTTATGTTTTTAATTCCTCCGAAAGATTCAATCGTGCTTGGTCTTGAGCCTAAATACTTCGGGAAAGAAAAAGATGGACTTGACAAGGAAGAGGACGACGATGCGCGACGCGATAAATTAGGAATTGGGCGTATTTTGATCGCGCTAAATACGCGAAGTCATGCGTTTTCTGATCATCTTATCTCACCCATTCAGACAGACTATATGTAGGAAATAAAAGAGGTTAAATTTAATTACCTCGATGAAATCATTATATAATAAATTGATAATGAGTAAGTTTAACGTAATTTATTAGAATATAGTTTATATTACTATATAGTCTACTTCATTTTATATATAAAATTCGTCTATATATTATTATAGTTTATACGCTTAGTATGAGATAGACTAGGCTCGATTAGGAATAGTATTATAAATAGTACTATATAAGAAGCTTAGGCTTATAGAATATATAAATAGAATTACTATATAGAAAGCTTAATTTAATCATCGAATGTATTAATAAATTATTTAATATATATAAGTATTAACTAGAATAAGATCTTTTTGTAGAGATCTAAGTTACTTATTTATACTTTTTTTAATCTCTTATGTAGCCTATAATATATAAATAATATATATCTTATTCTGATTTAAAATTAATTTTAACTTAAAATTAATATTAGAATAAAGAAAATTTGTTATTATAACGTAACGTATGGGGAACTCGGACATATGGGGAACTCGGACACTTTTAGCCCATCACCAACTTGAAACCGCAATAACTTTTATTATGCATACCCAATCACCTTCTACATCTGCTCAAATTGAAGAGAAGCTTCAAAAGGCTATAATTTCACTTCAATTGAAAGAATTTAAATCAATTAGAAAGGCTGCAGAGCATTTTGAAGTCCCTAAGTCTACCCTAGCTGATAGGCTGGCTGGGAAGAAAACACGTTCCCAAACCCACGAAATGGCTCAAATTCTTTCAAACGCAGAAGAAAATACTCTTGTACGATGGATTTCACGACTTACCATCACTGGATTCCCTGCTACACCTATGTTGGTGAAGGAAATGGCCGACGAAATTCGTCTTCGACGCGTTCGGGTCGCGTCATCTCGAAATCCTACCTCGACAGAAATTCCACCTATAGGCCACGAATGGATCTATAGATTCCAAAAACGACATCCAGAACTTAAAACATGCTATTCACGTCAATTAGAGTCTAATCGGGCTAAAGAAGCAACTCCGGAGAATATTCAGGCTTGGTTTGACGCGTTTCGCACGCGTCTCATTGAGCGAAAGTATGAATTAGATGATATGTATAATATGGATGAAACCGGATTTGGAGTTGGAAGTACTCAAAGTACGCGCATTATAGTCGATTCTACTCAGAAATCGAATTGGAAAGTTACAGCTGGCAAGCAAGAATGGATAACTGCATTTGAATGTGTCAATGCAGCTGGAAATGCTCTATCACCTATGGTCATTTTCAAGGCTCAGAATACGAATTCTGCATGGATTCCAAAGGACACACCTCAAAGCTGGCAGTTCTCTACTAGTACAAATGGATGGACCTCAAATAGCCATGGATTAGAATGGTTAAAAAGGGTTTTCGAACCAGAATCCAAGAAAGTGTCAGGTGACCGACCTCGACTTTTGATCATGGATGGCCATTCAAGCCATATTACAGGTAGCTTTATTGCTTTCTGTATAGATAATGATATTGATTTACTTATATTACCTCCTCATTGCTCTCACTTGCTTCAGCCACTTGATATTGCGGTGTATGGGCCAATGAAACGATATCATGCTTTAGAGGTCGATCGATATTCTCGAGCTGGTGTAAAGCGAATCCAAAGAGCTGAATGGGTAGAACTCTTTCAAAATATTAGAAAAAAAGCATTGAATTCTTCTAATATTAAAGCTGGCTGGAGAGGAGCTGGTTTAGTACCTTTTGCCCCACGAAAAGTACTCGATTCATTACCATTTAACTCCTCCCAGCAACCTTCTACTCCACAAATGAGAACCCCCAATCAAGACCTAGACTTGTCTATACTCAGGAGTTCTCCTCCAGATGGAACAGAACTAAGGCAAGCAAATCAGATCTTTAATACAGCTCTAGCAAGCAGTGGTTCTCCTGCATCGCCAACTCGTCGATATGCCAAGAGAATGACTAGGCTTGTAGAATCTCAAAATGCTGAGATAGCCCTACTTCGGAAACAGCTCTCTGATGCTCAGGAGGTAATTGAGACTCGAAAGAAAAGAACTAAAGGCAAAAGAGTCAAATTACAAGGTCAATTTGTCTTTAGTACTAAGGAAGTATTGAAAATGGTACGTGAGGCGGAGGAAAAACCGAAGGAGAAAAAGCCACGAGGACGGCCACGCAAACGCCCAATTGAAGAATCAGAAGAAGAGATTGAAGAAGAAGAGCTAGAGAATAGTTCAAGTGATTCGGAATTGGAATTGGAGGATTGTGTGGCTCGTAGAACAAGATCGCGTGTAGAATAATTGAAAAAGTGTCCGAGTTCCCCATATGTCCGAGTTCCCCATACGTTACGTTATACTTGATAAGTTTTGATGAATTTTAGTATGATTTTGACAAGTGACTAGTAGTAGTACACGGTGACTATAGAAGCTATAGAGTAGAGCCTCCTGAATTAATAGTAATCTAAAATCGATGAACTTTAAGAGTTATATTATGAATTTAATCATACTATAAGTATTTGAATCACTTGAGAGAGGGGATCTGAATTCGAATTACTAGGTAAAGTTGTTGGGTAAACTTGGTAAAATGTGTATATATAATATATATAAGTAAAAGGATTATTTATTTCTATTTATTCTCTTTATATAAAGAAGGAATTACTATATCTATATATATATACTACCCTTACTTATGTACTTCGTACATATATAAGGTAAAACGTAACATGTAATATCACGTCGTTGGTCACGTGTTCCGACAAAAGTACTATAAAAGTCTATATAAAATGAATAATATAAATTTAAATAATCTATATAAAGGTATAATTCTTTCTTTCTTTATAAAAAAGAAAAAAATTATATAATTCGTTTAAACATATAATTGTATATTCCAATATAAACAGAATTTTTATTTTTTAAGAAAACTTAAAGTATATAATATAAAAGAACGAATTATACTAATTATATCTCTTAAAACCTAAAAACTTAAACTAAAAATATCCTCCTCCTTATCTCCTTCATTCTATAATCAGGTTAAAAAAAAAGAAAAGAATAAAACAAACTGAAATTTACATATAAATAAGAAAACTCTTATTTAGTAAAGTGAAATGATTAAAATGTTAAATTGAATCGCTTTCTAAATGAATTATCATATTTAATTTCATTTAAAGAATGAATTAAAAGTAGAGTAATCAATTACTATACAAAAATAAATGAAAATGAATCATTCTTTTATTCCTTCGTAAATTTTTAGAGTAAATAATTGAAATCGTTTTTAGTAAAAAGATAATAGTCTTAAATTTATAAAACTTTAAAGTAATATATTCTCTCAAGAACATAAATAGAAATCGAATTTGTATAAAATTCTTGAAACTATTTTATTAAATAACTAATTTTCGCATATGAAATCGGTGAGGGGTTTCTTACTGTTTAGAGAGTTGTACTAAGTTCTGAACAAGTTTAATCCGTACATCTAAAATCTAGTTCTCGTTTAAAAATAGTATAGTGATTATTGCTCGCTCCTTAAGCTTATACTCAATCATTGGCGGGATTAGAATATCAGTCGAAAGGATATCCTTCAATTGTTGTTCGATTCTAATGGTATAGACGTTTGTATGAAAAATTTCGATAATCTTATTGAACAATTCCTTCGTCTTCTGACCTTTCGTTTTATTGATTTCGACTTGAATATTCTTATACATTTGATATAGATTTGTTCCAACAGTAGCCTTAGGGTGCGTTCGGATCGATTTATTTCGACATATTTCAATTATTAGACCTTATTTATTTATCAAATAATGCTTACTAAGCTCAAATAAAAGGTTTATCAAATGCTTAAGATTGTGAAATAAATTATTAGGAATTATTGGATTTGTAATAATCCAAATAAATTAAAATAACAAATACTTTCAAGATTATTATATATTAACCGTAAAATAGCTTTTTGAAGTTTTACAAATAATTCTTTAACAAATCTTTATTATTATTTATCTCTATTATTTTCCAATATTATCCAATATTACCTCAAATATATTAGCCTCAATACTCTTGTTATTTTAATAATATTATAAATTTCTCTAAATAAATAAGAAAACGAACCGAACGCACCCTTAATAGTGGAAAAGCTATATGCCTTGGTCTTCCGAACGAGCTTCTTACGGATTTGTATAAGCTCAAAAATAGCAAGATCTTGCTCGATTTTGAATTTCTGGACATCATTCAAGCACATAGATACTCGTTCATAACATAATAAACAGCCAACAGCTTGAATAAGATCCTCTTATTGTGTAGAATTAAGGTAGATAGCTTAGCAATTTGTATTTACAAATGCCGGCATGTAATACCGTTTGTAAACATCCCTATGATGACTTATGATCTGGCGTCGTTCTTCTGGAGTTACAATTTCTGTTAAGTCTGTTAACTAACATTTCTATAGGAAATATTTATATATGTGAAAAGCTTACCATTCAGTTTCTTTCCTGAAGCCCGACGCAGATCATGAAATTCCAGTCTCTTCTTGTAACCACAAGTTCGACCTAAGCGGATAAGATGATACCTATGTTTTGAATACTCTAGGCATTTTGTCTTTGAGATGTATAGATTATGAGCAGTACTCTTCACATCGCGAAAGACAGATCGATTAGTCTATTCAGTGGCTTATTGTAGGTGAAAACAATCTGTATTATATGGGACAACCAAATTATAAATATCCCTCAAAGAAATAGACTTGCTTTTGGAAATATTATCAGTTAACACCAATGCTAATATAAAAGTTGGCGTACAGTATGCTAGATCCTCGGCTTTATAAAATGCGAATATTTTCCTATTCTTATAAGCTTAAGAAAAAAGGAACAATATTGGATTGCTTACTCCTTCTTCTTCCCACCTAATTGCTTGATTCGTTCGAAATTAAGCTTCATTACAATTGTTGGCGATGACCCTTGAGTTCGGGAAAGGGAACAATTGAAATTCGATATCTTTGTATAGAATCCCGACAAGAGCTTTCGGCCTTGTAGCTGTGCAGCCAGCAATAATCAGAAAAGATGACATCTGTACTCGAAAGCGCTCGTGAGCATATACCTCCGTTGGTGGCATCCCAGTACCAGCGAAACATCGAGTTGATAGCCTCTACAAGCTCCATACTATTCGATTTGTCGATACAGCAGGTATCCACCCAGAAGTATTATAAGCCGTTACGCTTAGCTTGTTCATCGTAGAACCGTATCTTAGCATAACTAACCTTACCCTTACTTATCTTTAAAAATAACCTCCTCCACTCCCTATCTATACGAAAGTATAGCATAATCAAGTATATCGCTCTCAAAGAACTCGGTTAGGCTGAAATCGCTATGGTTATTGTGCTATAGCAAACGTATTGTTCGATTAGGTTCGAGGATTGTAAGAGAGAAGGCTCTCAGTAGTTATTGAGCTGTCGAGTTGGCATAAATACGAAGTTGGGTTAAGATCTGGGAGAAAGATGTTAGATTATAGTTAGTACATTTAGTTGAGTAGTAGCCTCGTGGCAATCGCACTTATTATCTCTATATCGTTATGCACCACTGTAAGCGCAGAAGACCTGCCAATCGCTTCGGGCTCACCGTAGGAATTCTAGAAGTTCAGACGTACCCTTTTCATACAATCGTTAATGAGTTTCAAATGCTGTGTGATATATTTCATTTCTTGCAAAGGAAGATAGATAGAAGATGTTATCTATATCGAAAATATCATAACTGTCGCTCAAGATAGAGTATAGAAATACGTGTCTTTTTTCAGATAGTATTCCTCAAAACCCATTCAGATCCTCCCTCAGATTCTCTCTTGACATATGTTATACAAACATCCGCCATGCACTCCGACTTTATTTTGTAGAATTCAGTTATATTTCCACTAGACACTGCCCCGCCAAGATCTGAGAAGACCTGCTCATAAGCCTCCTGTAACCGTGGGTTGATCTCTGCTGTCCAAAATATAAAGACAGATAATTCCTTTCTAAGGTAGTCTGTGATATTGTTACAAGATTTGGCGAATCGAACTTTGGAACGATGATCCACATTGGACTTATCTACAGGATATAGTTAGTAGTGCTTGAGAAATCTTGAGTTGGGGTTAGGTATAAAAGGAATCACTCACTAGACCCTAGGATATCTAATGGTGTAGTGTTGGAAGATATCTTGCCATATTTGCGCTTCCGCCCTGTGAGCGATTCTTCATCGTAGTCGGTATCCACAAGATCTTGGTTGAGAACATGGGAAGATGATAGATTACTATCTATATTGTTAAGATGTTAGTACTACCACTCGCGATTAGGTCAGTTGCTGAATCACCTTGGGGATCTTGCAGTAGGGGGTCTTGACGTTTCGCCGGATGCCCCTGTCTCGCAAACTGATTGAAATTCGTCCATACGTCGCATACCATATTAGATCTGTATACATTCTGAGTTGTAAAGTCACCTGTAAAGGTTCCCCTATGTATATGAGGGATCCTTTCCCATAGTTGTGTAATAGTCGATATTTGACCTGATGTATATACACAGAAGTTCTTAGCCTGGGAAAGGGATTGCAGATCAGCCAATAGTTTTACAACATTGTCCGACGCAGGGGTGAAGGAATGATTCTCAATAGGGGGCATAAACACTGTGCCATTGTTTTCGAGCTTGAAGTATATACGGGAAACAGTAGTTCCATCCATATAGATACCAGCCTTTTGCATAGCAGTACGAGTCTTGGAAGAAACCTTATATGGTGATGCTGCCAAGGTGATACCTCCGGCCTCCCCAAACAAACTAGCTTGGAGAACAAAGTAGAGCGGCTTTTTACGTATCGTAGCAGATCCAGGGCTCACTGTGACCCCAACTGTTACACTGAACCAAAAGAGTAACTTGGGGTTATCCTGTGTACCAAGGTCCACATTCATTCGAAGTTGTTGAGCTGGTGTACCAATATAGTTAAATGGTTCAGATTTGCCCCATCTGATAACTATAGGTATATCTGTACAGCCGAACGTTGGGGAAGACATAGTAGCTAGGATATCTTTCAGCGCTATTCTGATAGGTAATAAGTTAATACTGATACGAGCAGAATAATAGCCTTATCCACAACAATGTATCCATTGAGAAATCAAACTTATAATCTCCTTACTACAGGTGACATTTGACTTCCTTCAAGAGGTAGTACTAAGCCATCCTAGTAGAGCAGGAGACCTTAGGTCCTCTTACTACAGGCGACATTCGACTTCCATCAAGAGGTAGTACTAAGCCATCCTAGTAGAGCAGGAGACCTTAGGTCCTCTTACTACAGGCGACATTCGACTTCCATCAAGAGGTAGTACTAAGCCATCCTAGTAGAGCAGGAGACCTTAGATCCTCTTACTACAGGCGACATTCGACTTCCATCAAGAGGTAGTACTAAGCCATCCTAGTAGAAATAGGAGACCTTAGGTCCTCTTACTACAGGTGACATTCGACTTCCTTCAAGAGGTAGTACTGAGCCATCCTAGTAGAGTAGAAAACCTAAACCATCTCATAAGTCTAACCTTTGGTTATTTATCGGAAAGACTATACTTGTATATTCGTAATAGATAATGTGCGATAGCGATGGAAAGGACGATAGCGATGGAAAGGGATGGCGATAGAAAGGGTGATGGTGATGGTGATGGTGATGGCGATGGCGATGGCGATGTGATAGCGATGGCGATGTGATGGCGAGGGCGATGGTGAAGGCGAGGGTGATGGCGATAGAAAGGGTGACGGCGATGGTGATGGAAAGGGCGAGGGCGGTGGTGAAGGCGAGGGTGATGGCGATGGTGATGGCGATGGTGATGGAAAGGGCGAGATAAGCCAAACTTAATGCGACTTAAGTAAGCGTACTAATAATACCACTAGTGGGTGCACAGACTCACGGGACAGCCGGTAAGTAAAGTAAGAGTTTAGGCCCCACTTTTAGTAAATGCCTCATCGAAATTTCTTTCGCAGGAGCAGGGAAAGACCATCACCCGACACAATTAGATCCACTTTGAAGAATTACTTTTCACTTTATAACATTCTTCCCTGCGTAGATCATCAATAAAAAAGAATAGAAAGTAATAAGGTTATAGAATAAGCCTTTACATATGTTATAGAAATATTATTATAAAAATAATATTTTTAATAAAAAAAAAAGAAAAGAGATTCTAAAGAATATATAATATAATACATAAGAGATATAATAGAATGAATAAAAACTAACTACTTTTTCTAAACTATATAATAAAGAATTATAAATACTAATTATAAGAAATATTAGATAATCTATACGTGATTTTCCGCGCATAGTATTAGAATAAGATTTTTCTATAAAGACTTAAACTATCTACTTATACTTTTTTCAATTCTCTATATAGTCTATAATACGTAGGTAATATATATCTTATTGTCGAAACACGTAATCAATAACGTAACATTACATATTATACTTTACCTTATATATATACAAAGTGTACAAGTGAGGGTAGTATATATATATAAATATAGTAATTCCCTCTTCATATAAAAATAATAAATAGAAATAAATAATCCTTTTATTTATATATATTATATATATACATCTTATCAAGTTTACCCAATACTGATTAATAATTGATTAAACTTAATTACAGAATAGTAAGATTAAATCTAATAAGAAAAGATATCTTTTAAAAGAATAAATAAAATCGTATTAGATTAAATTTACATATAATTTATAAAAAAAAACTAAAATACTATATTCTTTATATTATCTTTTCGAATTATATACTAAAAAAAAATCCCTAACTATAATTATAATTTCTTTAGAATAGTTTAATTTATATTGATTCTATTTATATTCATTATACTCTCGTACATACTATATAAAATACATTCGATACAATACAACATTAAATATTATTATTCAATATAGTTTTTTCAATTCCTAAAACACTTTTATACAAAGTAAATCCTACATTTTAAAGATAATAATTGAATCTAAATAATCCCGATTTTATAGAATTCTAAATAAATATTAATATTATTATATAAATTATCAATTTACAATTTAGATAATATAAAGAATAATAATTATAGAATGAATTTTAAGAATAATATAAAAATTAAATTAAAACTATCTTTAAAGCCATATATTGTAAAACATTTAAACTTTTACAAATTCAACTTTTTATTCATAATTTCTAAATTCAATAATTAAAGAAATATTAAATAAATATATAAAAAAGATTGAAAAAGAAATAAAGAATCTAAAATCGAATTATTTCAATATATATAAAATAATTAAACTGAAAAAATTAATATATATATTAATATTTATTTCAAATTTATTTAATTAAATAATTATATTATATTCATAAAATCAAAATCAATCTTATTTCAAATCTTATATAATATTAGATTATATAATACTAAAAGAAGATACACTATATACATTATATACAAAATATATATATAATCTCCTTTTAGATTTAATAAAAATATATATTAATAAAGAATATAATTTTCTTAATTAAAAACTTCAAATATTTTATAAATTCTATAGAAATATTAATATCGAATTAAATTAATATAATAATACTTTTTCAATAATACTTAAAAACAATATTTTAATATTTTATTTTAATAAAATTACTAATAGAAATCTCAATTTTGAGAATATATTAATATTAATATAAATACATTTCGAAATTAAAAAAAGATAATAGAAATATTTTATTAAATAATATAATATAATATTTATATAAATTATATAAAACAATCTCAAAAAAATACTTTCTTAATAACTAGAAATCTTATTTAAGAATCTTTAAAATCTATAATATAATTTAATTAATTTATATTAATCAGAATTAATACTTCAAGATTAGATTATAAATACTTATTATAATATTCCTAAATATAATCCTATATTATTATAATTAGTTCTAATATATAAAGATTTTTATATCAATTTGTAAAACATTATTAAACAAATTAAATATATAAAAATAATAAAAAAATTTATATCAATCTTTATTATTAATAATCTATTTGATATAGAAATATATTAAATTAATTGTATATATAAAGATTAAGAATTATATTAAAGGTAAGGTTGATTTTAAGGGACTTAAAATAAAGAAAAGTTTTCATCTCCTTTTTAAAATGGGTTTTTTTATTTATAATTTATATAATCTCGAAACAATTCTTATATATTATTATTAAAATACTATATATATATAAGAAATCAGATTGTTAGTTTATTAATCATTTTATATAAAAACGAAAACTTTAATATAATTAATTTATAATGGAATATAATATAAACAAAGATTAATTTTATCAATTTCTTTTTATATATAAGAATAATTCAAACAATGTAGAAATTGAATTTAATAAAGTTATAGACAAATAAAACATTATTGAATATTAATAAAATGATTTATTAAATAATTAATTAATAAAACATAAAACATATTTTATTAAAATGAGATTTATTAATGAAATATATATAGTTAAACTTTTTAATAGATAATTCTTTGTATATACATTTTTGTAATAAGATTAATTCGAGTAATTGTATAAAAAAACAATTAATAAAAATGAGATTTTTCAATTCGAAGATTGATATTCGGCCAACATTTTCCAAGGTATTATTCCTGATACTAATATATCAAGAATATTAATAATAAAAGAACTTCAAGTATAAGTATTGAAAAAAGAAAAGAATGTAAAATGTATAAATAATGCTCAATATAATATTAAATTTGAAAAAGACTTTATATAATCACAAAATAATATTTTAATTATAACATCTTTTAATAATATTACCTTTTCAATTATATTAATAAATACTTTATTTCTTATATATATATGAAATATAAATCATTTATATATATCACTTAATAACCTTATAAATGTTTTAAAACAAGATAATAAGATAATTCTTATTATACAAAAATAAAAACATTCTTTTATACTTTTAAATTAAAAAAAGGAATTAATTATATATAATTATTTAATAAAAATAAAATTTAAGCAAATTTATTGAGAATTTATTGAAAATTTAATTAATTATTTATACAAAAACTTATAATCTTCTTAAATCAAGTAGCATATAATATTAACATTTATATAATTAAGAAATTTAATAAATTCTATAAGTATTATCAACTTTATATAAAATCCTCTAAATAATTTAAGTTTACAATCAAAAATAATATTGAATTTAATTACTTTATCATTTTTAATATCTTTTATATTAATAAAACAATTATATATAACACTACAGTATTTATATAAGATATATCTATCAAAACAATATAAAATACTATTCAAAAATGTTGAATTGATATATACCTAAAACTATCAAATTATATATTATATAATACAAGTATGAATTTCATATTTAAAGAATTCAAACAAAGTATAAAATCCCTTCAAATTAATATTCAAAAAATCCCTATCGAAATCTACAATATAATTAGAAAAATTAAAAGATATCACTCTCTTATATAACATATATATAATATATTTAAAACTAAATTGAAAAACAATAATCTTAATAAAGAATTAATATTACAAATAATAATAAAAACAATAAACAATATTATTAATTCAAATAGACTTATATTAATATTACTTATATATAGAGCTTACCCTTGAATAATATTATACAATCTATTATCTTTATTAATTTTAAAACGAATGAATATATATTGTTTAATAATAAAAGAAATATATGAAATCCATATAAAACAAATAATTTAAAATATACTTACTATTCGAAATGATTTAATTATATATAAAACATTCAACTTATTCTTTAATTTGTTAATATAAGTATAAAGAAAAAGAAAAGGTTAAACAGGATTATACAGATTATTTACAAATATTAATCAAAACTATATAATCGATTTTCCTTATAGTTTAACAGAATTTCATATAATAATAATAAAATCATTTTATGAAAAAGAAACATTCAAAGAAAACTAATTATTACTTATTTCGAAAATACTTTTAATAATACTTTCAA